CCTTTTTTCAATATTATTATAGAATTGCTTGAAAATATAGCTGGCCATCAGTTTGCAATTACAGATGATAAGAGTTCCAGGTTGTTGTGAGTTTTCCGGGCTGTATGGCCATGTTCCAGAAGCATTCTCTCCTGATGTTTTGCCTGCATCTATGGAGATGGAGTTTCATTTTGTTGTCACTATATTGAAGGGATCTTAAAATTCCTTTTCTCTATGAGCCAGGTTGTATGTTTTGGATTTCTTTTTTGTGGAATACATCTACACTGCAGGTTGACCCCACTTGGACTGCCCTGACTCAATGCTATGGAATCATGGGAGTTGCAGTTTTGCAAAGGCTTGGGCCTTCTCTTCCAAAGAGGGCTGGTACCTCCTCAAACTACAACTCCCAGGATTCCATAGCATTGAGCCTTGGCTGTTCATGTGCAGAGTTAATGCAGTTTGACACCACTTGAACAGCCAAGGCTCAATGCTATGGAATCCTGGGAGTTGTAGTTTGAGGAGGTACCTTACTTATTAATGTAAGTAAGGTACCTCCTCAAACTACAACTCCCAGGATTCCATAGCATTGTGCGTTGGCTGTTCTAAGTGTTGTCAAACTGCATTAACTCTGCAGTGTAGATACACCCTTTGCTTTTTTCGCTCCCTCTTCCCCTTGCCTATAGAGATGTCATTTGAGACAGTGAGAAGAATGTGTTGGTCATAAGGCGGAGGAGCATAAAACAGAATTGATGCCCTGTATAAGCAAAGCTACGGAGTTGCTGCTAAAGATATCGCATATGTATTTCATTTCCAGTAAGGCATTACTCTCAGCCTTTGTAGATGGGAAGAATTAGCATTTATAATTCATTGTTAGCTTTCCTCATTTGCGAATGACTTTAAATAAAGGTTTATTTTATTCCATTCCTCATACTGGATTCTGATCTTTAGATCCTTCCCCTGTATATATCTAATTCCAAATGGAAACAATAATAACTTCCTAACAAAGAATTCCCCCAGGCAGTAAGAAGCCAGACCTTGACAACTGTTAGGTCATTAAATGCTAATCAAGGTGGCCAATTGCTACATTCACACCTACCTCAAACAGGCAAGAGTTCTTTCTCTCACTCTAGTCTAGACATTATTAAACAGATATATAAACCCTATTTTTATAGTTTCCAACAGACCTCACAACCTCTGAGGATGCCTGTCATAAATGCAGGCGAAATGTCAGGAGAGAATGCTTCTAGAACATGGCCTTATAGCCTGGAAAACACACAACAACCCAATAATAACACAGTAACATTATTACTTTTATTTTGGAATGAAATAAAATTTAGAGCAAGAAGGGACATAAAGTTCATTTTTGTATGCTTCCACCTTGTTTAGATTGGAAAAGATTTCTCCTCCTTTTTCTAATGGCCAAGTCTTTCATTGCGGAAACCTCTTTTTGTGTTTTGCACCAGAAAGTAAATCTCGATGCCCTAAACAAAGCCTTATGTGTCTTAATAATACATCCAGCCTCTTCCAGTGTTAACACTGTATTTACTTGTTATTCTGTTTTGATTGTAAACATTGTAAAAGAAATAATCTATAATCAGGATGCTCATTTGAAACATAATAATATCATTGAGAGTAAAGGCCTTTCATTTTCTTTCCTTCCGCCACAATCAATCTGAAATAAGGGTGCTTATCTGTAGGGCAGTGTTTCTCAACCTTATGCTGTGACCCCTTAATACAGTTCTTCATGTTGTAGTGACCCAACCATAAAATTATTTTTGTTGCTACTTCATAACTATAGTTTTGCTACTGATATGAATCATAATGTAAATATCTGATATGCAGGATGTATTTTCATTCCCTGGACCAAATTTGGCACATGCCCAAATTTGAATACTGGTGGGATTGGGGGATAGGGATTTATTTTGTTATTTGTAGTTGCTGGGATTTATAGTTCACCTACAATCAAGTGGCATTTTGAATTCCACCAACAATGGAATGGAACCAAACTTGGCCCACAGAACTCCCATGAGCAACAGAAAATACTGGAATTGTTTGGTGGGCATTGACCTTGAGTTTTGGAGTTGTAGTTCACCTTCATCCAAAGAGCACTGGACCAAACTAGGCAAAGTGCCCAAATGTGAACACTGGTGAAGTTTGGAGAAAATAGGCCTTGACATTTGGGCGTTGTAGTTGCTGGGATTTATAGTTCAACTACAATCAAAGAACATTCTGAACCCCACCAGCAATAGAATTGGGCCAAACTTCTCACCCCTATGCATAGCCTCGCATGTTTTATTTATTTATTTATTTATTTACTTACTTACTGTGTTTGTATTCCACCCTTCTCACCCCCATGGGGACTCAGGGTGGAGTACAATGCACATATAAATGACAAACATTCAATGCCATTTAGACATACAACATATCTAGACACAGAGGCAGTTTAGCATTCTAGCTTTTCTGGCTCCATGAGGGTATGCTCGATTCTGGCCACAGGGGGCGCTGCCTCTCTTTTCACCATCCATTTGTTACACCTTTGATGGAGTACTTCCTCATTTTTCTGCACGCTGCTGGAAGATTTTATGGCATTGTAAATAAGTTAAATGTTCTCCCTCGCCCGCACGCACAGAACATGCTGCCATGCACCAAGCACGCCTGCTCTCCCTTCCCCACTTGGAGTCTCATAAACAGCCCTCCCCTTGGCTAAGAGATCTGCCAATCACAGTGGAGGCGGGCTTTTGGTGTCTGTTTCCAAAAAGGACGAGAAGGACAGGTGGAGAGATCTTCAGCCTTCTCTGCCAAATGGGTTCCTAAAACCATCCGCAAGATATGTTTAGCTGATGGGCTTTGGTGACCCCTCTGATCCCCCTCCTGACTTCCCCAGGGATCCTGCCCCCAGGGTTGAGAAACACTGCTGTAGGGAATGATAAACTTTGTGTATTCATAATGGTGAATTGACATTGTAGAATTAAAACACTTTGACACCACTTTTAACTGCCATGGCTCAATGGGAGTTATGGTCTTACAAAATCCTTCCGTTCCAAAGAGTGCTGAGATCTGTCAAAATTACAAAATTAGAGGTTTAAAGCCTCTAGCTGCAGGAAAGCTGCTGACCAGAAGGTCAACGGTTCAAGTCAGGGTGAGCACTCAACTGTCAGTCCTAGCTCTCTGCCTACCTAGCAGTTCAAAAGCATGCAATGTGAGTAGGTACCGCCTTCTGGTAAAAAGGTAAAAAGGCGCAAAAGGTGCCCTATGCAGACATGCCGGCAAAATATTGGAGAAGGCTATGGCCAGCAAGCTCCTTTGGCATGGAAAAATGGAACAACAGCACCTCCCCATGGTCGGAAGTTGAGTATTGTTGGAGCATGCAAGAAATCAGTTTGTGTGTGTGTGTCAACTGTAAAAAAAAGATGCATGAAGCTGATTGGTTGAGCTTCGCTCGGGGAGATGGCTGAGCCTGGGACTTTTGGATACTGTTACATTTTCAGGTTTAAGCTATGCAGATTCTTGCAGAGAAGCAGGCAGAGAGACAGAGTTTGGAGTGGTTTCTTGCTTCATGAGCTGCTGGAGGGAGGTTCTCCTCATGGACAAAGAAAGTCCATTTTAAATCTCTCATAAAAGGACATTATGTGAGTCGATGCCACTGATCACATGATTGTAAATATGTTGTCCTGAACCATGAAGAGTAAACTACTTGTTCTTTACTGTTCATTTGCATGGCATATTTTCTTTCTCTGGCAAAGCAGTGTGTGGGCTGACCAAACGTGAACTACGCATGATTTTCATTTTGTCACAAGCATTGCCTCCAGACGCCGGAAATTGATAAAAGGGTGTCTGGAGGTGTAGTGTATGTCATTGTTTGTGTTAAAAGGCATTGAACATTTCCTTATATGTACTGTAATCCATTCTGAGCCCCCCCCCCCCAAGATAAAGCGGAATATAAATAAAGTGTATTATTATTATTATTATTATTATTATTATTATTATTATTATTTGATACAAGATTAGTACACAGCAACAAGATCACTATGCAAGCTTTTGTATTTGATGACACGTCGGACACTTCCCAAGTGTCTAGGTCTGTGTGATGTATTGGCAAATAATGCATGCAGATCTGAGTAGGTTGGCCTTTTGCAGCTGACAGATGGTAATTTTGTCAGCACCGATTGTTTTTAAGTGCAGGCCAAGGTCTTGAGGCACTGCACCCAGTATGCCAATTACCACTGGGACAACCTGGATTGGCTTGTACCAGAGTCTTTACAGTTCAATCTTTAAATCCTCATATTGTGTAAACTTTTCCAGTTGCTTCTTGTCAATCCTGGAATTGCAACATTGATGATCCATAGTTTGTTTTTTCCACGATTGTGAGGTCAGGAATATTGTACTCCAAAACTCTGTCAGTCTGAATTCAGAAGTCCCAGAATGGCTTGACGTGTTCATTTTGTGTAATTGTTGTTGTTGCTGAGCCATGGCAGTTAAAGTGGTGTCAGACTGTAGTGTAGATGCACCCATGCAGAGACTCTGAAAAGCCCCAGTTCGATTCAGTGGTCATATTTAAAGGGTCTTAAAAATACGTTTTTGACAATGGAATATTTTTAAATTCATGTTAAATCTAACGTGGTTCACCAGGGTTGTTTAAATAGGTAATTCTGTGCTTTGATCGTAGAGGTTACCTTGGATGAAAAAAAAGTATGGCGTCTCTCTCGTATCATCGTTGCTTAAAATTTTGCACATCTTCTGAGCGTATGGGATAATTAAACACAAAGCTGTTGAAATACCCATTTTTTTTCTCTTCCTTTGCCTTTCCTCTCACACAACTTCCTATAATGTCTAAATACTCAGAGGTAGTGAACTAGCACCATCTTCTGGACATTTTGGATTTTGGCCTCATTTTTCTCTCTTTTGTTCTTCCTATCCTTTTTTTGATTCCACTTTGAGATGTAATATATTTCTTCTCTTTATGTCATTCGCATGGATATTCTGTGGCCTCATATATCTTTCTTCTCCATTTGCCTTTTTAGGCTTCTGATGCCAGTTCTGAAAAGTTGTTCAACACAACTGCAAACAAAGGTAAGTGTGCATTCTTCCCATATCCTATAATATCTACTTCCATGTTCACCCCAACCCAAAATACTTTGACTTTATGTTTGCAGTAAGAAACATAGGCAGTTTCATGCTCCAAAATGTGTTTTGTTTTGATGTTCTCAACTGTGTTGGGTATCTTGCACAGCAACCCATTGAAGCAAAACAACAACAAAACAAAAGCCATGTTAATAATTTTAGTAAATAAAGCATATCTCTGGGTTGCTGTGAGTTTTCTGGCCTGTCTTGCCATGTTCCAGAAGCATTCTTTCCCGGCGTTTCACCCATATCTATGGCAGGCATCCTCGGAGGTTGTGAGGTCTGTTGTGTGGTTTATATATCTGTGGAATAATGTCCAGGGTTGGAGAAAGAATTCTTGTCTGCTTGAGGCAGACAAGATGAAATACAATTCATGATTAGTTGTGCTTGCTTTTTGGACAACGGTTGTCTTAAAGTGTGGTCTGAAAATATTTCCTTGGGCGAAATCATATAGTGGAATTCAAAATAAATAAATAAATCCAGATTCAATGCCGAAAGGAACACATGAGTCATGTTTTACGAAAACAAAGTCTTATTTAGTCCAGCATTCTCTTTGGATACTCACCAATCTATGGAAAGTTCACACAACTGTAAGAGTTACAGTTGAGCTGTCGAACATTAGATATGGTAATATATAGTAGTCATGGGCCCGAAATTTGTTTCATCAGTTTGATTCTTGTTTCCTTTTTTGTTCAGTCCATTTGGATGGCATGAAATGGGAAGGCCTCTCTGGAACAAAACTAGACTTGATACAAAAGGCGGGCGGGAGTGGGTACCGGCTCCAAGCCTACTTTTCGGATCAATTGCCGTGCACATAGACTGAAAGCACCAGGGTCTGGCAGGGCCTACAACCAAGCATTGGGTAAGGCTTTGGGCCTACGAGTGCAGGTTGTGGGCCTACGTGCCCGGGCTTCACAGGGCCTTCAGTCGAGCACTCTTTACTTGACACTCGGCTGCAGGCACCTCGGAGCTTTGGGCCTATGCACCCCGGCCTGGCAGGGCCTGCAGCCAAGTGCACCCCGTACTCGGCACTCAGCTGCAGGTCCTGCCAAGCCTGGGTGCATAGATCCAAAGCCTGCACCCATAGGCCTGGGCACTTTGGGCCTACGATGAAGTCTGCCCCCCCCCCCCCAAATGGTAGAAAGAAAATGGATCTTTCAGCCCTGAAAACAGAAACAAATATCTGACATCCCCATTTTGGGAGTCGCCGTTGAAATGGATCGAGGCCCCCACCGAAATCCGTGACACAAAACAGATGAAGGTAAGCCCCAAATACACAACTCTAATATATAGCCATCACTACTATAGGATAGAGTTGTCTTCTATTGATATGGTTAATCCCCTTGTAAATTAATGAATTATATGTTGTGAACTTCCATAATCCAGCCAGTATCCATAGTTTGCTTGTGCTGGACCTCCCATTGTCTTGCTTCACAGGGTGATCCTGGCTTGTCATATTATGAGAAGGAAATAACGTGGGAATTCTTCATCCTTCTACCCAAGACCCTGGGGTGCCATTTCAAATCAGAGCAGACAAGACTCGCAATGGTAATAACAGCGGGAGAAGGAATGTGCCTCTTGAGGGCATCTCAGAGGCATCTGCTTGACAGTACAAGATGAGACAGGCCTGTGTTTCACCTCTAAGAGCCAAAACATGGGCTAGTCATCTGACTGAGTACACAATCTATGGCTCCCATGACCACATTTCTATCAAAGGGCTTTGTGTACTTTGATCTTTTTCCTCCGTGCTCATAGCTTGCAGGAATTCCTTTGTCGAATGAGATACGCCTTGTTAAATTCACAATTTGAGAATTGGCCTGTTTTTACATCATATGATGCTTTTCCATGTGTGTCTTAAAGTGAAAGGCCAGTCCTTTTGAAGCTGTGAGCTGCAAAAACTAGTGATTATTTGAGATTCTAGTAAAGTTCTCGAGAACATTGAATAAGGAAACATTGATATGTGTGCTTCATTTGAAAGTCAAGTCTTCTGCATCTTGGATTGAAATGTCTACATATTTATTCCCATAAATCGTAGGCACATCCTTGCGAGAATGGGGATTGGAGGCACTGTTTTACAGTGGCTCTGGTCCTTCCTGGAGTGTTGTTCTCACAAGGTGTTGTTGGGGGACACTGCTCTGCCCCGCCATCATTGACTTGCGGAGTCCCACAAGGTTCAGTATTGTCCTCCATGTTGTATAACATCTACATGAAGCTGCTGGGGGAGATCATCTGGATTTTTGGAGTTTGATATTATCTGTACTCAGATGATGTCTAACTGTATCACTCTTTCCCACCTACACCTAAGAAGGCTGTTCAGGTCCTGAACTGGTGTTTGGTGGCAGTGATGGTCTGGATGAGGGCAAACAAATTGAAACTGAACCCAGACAAGATGGAGGTACTCCTGGACAGTCGTAAGGCCGAACAGGGTATAGAGTTACAGCCTGTGTTGGACGAGGTTACAGTCCCTCTAAAGATGCAGGATCGCAGCTTGGGAGTGATCCTGGATTCATCCCTGAGCCTGGAACCCCAGGTTTTGGCGGTGGCCAAGGGGAGCTTTGCACAGTTAAATTTGCAGGTCTGTACTTTGGGAAGCCAGACTTGGCCACGGTGGTCCATGCTTCTGTTACATCTCAAATAGATTACTGTAATCCATGCTACGGGGGCTGCTTCTGAAGACTGCCCAGAAGCTTCAAATAGTCCCAACGGATGGCAGCCAGATTTCTCACTGGAGTGGCGTACAGGGAGCATGCAACCTCCCTGTTATGTCAGCTTCACCGGCTGCCAGTCTGCTACCGGGCTCAATTCAAAATGTTGGCTTTGGTCTATAAAGCCCTAAAACAGTGGTTCCCAACCTTTTTTTGACCAGGGACCACTAGACCAGGGGCCACTCTCCAACATTAGTACCAAAAGGGTCACAAAACGGTTTTTGACCAACTTTAGATTCGGTTTGGTTATTTGGGGTGCTTATTCAGAAAATTGCATTAGATAGACCACATTCACTCCAGTTTCTGATACAGAACTCATGCCATCCAGTAGCTCACCCACAGAAAACTATATTTAATAATCTAGATCTGATGTAGTACTACTAATCTTTCAATGGTGATCAGGAATTTGGACGTGACATTCAGTCCATCAGAGTTGATGCTTCAGTGGTTCAGTGCTGGTGGTCTTTGCTTCTTCCAGCACGCTGACATTTGTCTACCTGTCTTCCCAAGAATTTTGTAGGATTTTTCAGAGGCAACGCTGATGGAATCATTCCAGGAGATGAGTGTGACATCTGTAGACAGTCCACATTTCACAGGACTGTCTTTATAGCTTTATAAACAAGCACCTTGGTCTTCCTATGGATGTCCCGATCCTCTAACACTTTGCTTCATTCGGAAAAATGCTGCACTCGCAGAGCTCAGGTGGCGCTATATTTCAGTATCAATGTTGACTTTTGTGGAGAGATGGCTGCCAAGGGAGAGGAAATAGTCAACATTTTCTAATGTTACACCATTTAGCTGTATTTTGGCATTGCAGAAGGATTGGCTGGTGACTGCTGGAAGAGCACTATGCTTTTCTTGATGTTTAGTGAGAGGCCGAGCTTCTCGTGTGCTTCTGCAAAGGTGTTTAAAGTGGCTTGTAGGTCTTTTTCTGAATGCGCACGTACTATGCTATCATCGGCATACTAGAGTTCTATAACAGGTGTTGTTCTGACCTTGTTTTTCGCTTTCAGTCTGCTGAGCTTAAATAGTTTGCCATCTGTCAAGTAGATGAATTCCACTCCGGTGGGAAGCTTCCCATCAACAAGAAAGATGAAGTATCATAGGTAGAGTATGTAGAAGAGTTGTGAAGGCCCAAAATCTTGGTAGTGGTTATCTTGAAAATAACTTGAAGATCTATTTCACTGATACAGCTTTCCTACACCATTCTTTATAGCTGTCACAGCCATTTTTTTAGGCAGTTATAGAAAGCCTTTCACTTTTTAGTTAGGCTGTTTGTTGGATAGCAGACAACAGTCCACTACTACAGACTGAACTCAAAAGTGTCAACAACTTTGTAGGGTCAACTAGAGGCTGTGCGATGCTGGCAAAGCTTTTGGCACCCCCGGGCCACTTCCATGCTGTGATGAAAGAGGAGAGTGGGGTTGAATCAAAACTGTTGAATTCCTCATCCTCAAAGCCACTATTTCCCTGCAATGCCTTGCAGGAAAATTCTCTGCAATTTGTGAACCCTTCAGGAAAGTACTTGTGCTTCTTCTGTGAATCAGGGTCTCCCACAGCACGTAGATGACATGATGATTGGTTTTTTGAGACCTTGCTCAGGTTTAGAGAACCACAAGAGTCATCCTGCATCCCTTATATGTAGCAAAGAGCTATCATTCTTCCTTGACAGAAGTCCTTCTGCTCTCAGTCTTAAGTGCACTTCTTTGGGAATCAATTGATTTTGTTTCCCAGCTAATTGTGCTGTGGATCAATAAAAGCAGATAGTTGGTTGTATCCTCGGTGGGTTATGAGGACAAACTACTGGTTACCAAGGGCCTTCTGTGTTAAAGTCCACTCCTGGTTACTCTATTTTTTCTTCATTACAGCAGTATGATTTGAGCAGCACTCCTCAAAGCGATGTCTCATGGGCCATTGATTCCTGGTCCCTGGCAAGGGAAAAGAAAGAATCAGATGAGCCAATGGGCACAAGTATGACACTGGTCTCTCTTATTAGAAAGCCCAAGAAGCACTGCTTTTTATGTGGTTAGAAAATAATTAGAGCAGTGTTTCTCAGCCTCCCTAATGCCGTGACCCCTTAACACAGATCTTCATGTGTGGTGACCCCCAACCATAAAATTATTTTCGTTGCAACCTCATAACTGTAATTTTGCTAGTTATGAATTGTCATGTAAATATCTGATATGCAGGATGTATTTTCATTCACTGGACCAAATTTGGCACAAATACCCAATAGGCCCACAT